AGATATATATGTATATGTATGTATTCATATTTATATATATATGTGTGCGTGTTTGTGTGTGTGTGTATGTGTGTGTATATATATATATATTACAATATATATATATATATATACCTAATTAACCTATGACCTTTCTATCTGAAGACGATATATATATACACATATATATTTATATATATAATATATACATATATATATATATAAAGATATCTATATATAAAGATATATATATATATTACAATATATATATATATATATATCACAATATAAATATATATATATATATTTATATAGATATATATATATACCTAATTAATCTATGACCTTTTCATCTGAAGATGTGTATTATAGAAGCGTCCCACTGTTTCACCACTCAGCCCTAATTGTTGTATTATTTTATATCTACTTAGGCTCTTCCGCCAAAACTCAATCCAATCATCCGGCCGCTCATGGACTCCATCAAGACAGAACTCGACCCATTATTACAAGAAAGGAGGTACGAACTGGTACAAATGTATTTGCTAGTAGTCAGTGCGTTTTGTAGACTTAGCCTGCTCTCACTTGAATGCCAAACCGACCCACACGACATCATCCGTTTGCACTTCTTATAATGGTCCATTTTCTTTCGACCAATGCAAATCATGCTGAAACGTTATTCCTATAGACTCGGAGTATGCGTACCCCAAGCCGCAAAGGCTCTTTCGATAATAGTCTATTTTTTCCTGGTAACTCGAACCCATCCCATTCCAGCGCCAAAGCGATTGCTGCGCTATTTGACATAGTACGAACGCGCACTCCATGCCCCATCCCAAAGATCACCAAGAATCTCTGTGCTTCGGCCTGTGCCGATGTCAAGGTCGTCCCAGTGGTTGGCACGCCCTCTGCGGCAGGTGTGTGTGTGTGTGTGTGTTTTCTCTGGTCCAGGTATAGAGACATGCTGTTGAACCACTTGGATATCTACATCCATACTTCATAGGTATATGTGCGTTCGTGTATATGTATACACTACGTGCATATAGACATACGTAGCTGTGTGCCTCAGTCTGTGCTATTGTCAAGGCCCTCCAAGTGGTGGACACGCCCTCTGCGGCGAAATTTTGTGTGGCTTTCATTTGAAAAATATATCACAAACTTAACATCCACATGTACGTATACAAAACCTCGTCTGCGTACGTTCGTGTACATAACCTGCTTGCTCTGTTTCGAACTTATACATTCTACATAGGTTTGGTTTTAGAAATCTCAATGCCTCAATATGTGCTGATGACAGGGATTTTTTGTTCCATTGTTGGGCACGAATTTGCCGCAGGAGGTGTATCCGATTGTCGTATAAATCCTTTACTGGTCGTATTTTTGTTGTTGTACAACTCAGAAATTAACAAAGATGACCCGGAGGACAGCGACCATCGCTTCCATTCCATCTACACACTCCAACTCAAAACATACGAAGCTAATAGCACCGCTGGTCCTGGGAGGTATGATGTATCTCGGATATGGTTTGTAGGTGGCGTATATTACATTGTATTATAGTAATATATTGTACTATGCTGTCCTGTACTGCATTGGTTATTTTTGTATTGTGTTGTTTTGAACTGTATTGGTTATTATTGTATTATATTGTTCTGTACTACATAGGTTGTTATTGTAATATATTGTACTAAACTCTAAACACGCCAAATTTTATGAATAGGAAATCCAAGCAACCAATGGCAGAGGTTGTTGACGACGACGTCAAGCTGCTGCGGGCACAAGCAAATGGTGGAAGATTAGCACTGCAGCAGATCACCAAGTACTCAGGACCCAATCTCTTCACAACACTCCCCAATTTCTGGCCTCAACTCACTGACAACATTGTCACGGGCTTGCAACAAGGGTACAAGGGTATGTTGGGTGTTGTACGTATGTGTTGATAGCTGTAGATGTGTGGAATCGACTGCAACTGCTACTGCAAACGTGCGTTCTAAGCTGTAATGGTGAAGTTCTCAAACGGTTTGACAGAGCTACAGGGATTTGGTTGGACTCCTTCCTCCCTCCCCAAAAAAAATGTGTTGGTAAGCGGCAGAGTTTGCTTCATCCTTTTAACATTTGGACTTTATCCTGTGTCTGCTTTGTAGGCCAAAGCGCTGATGTCAGGTATGCATCATAAGCTAACTAACACAGGGCTTAGGGTTTATATTTATAGGCCAAAAAACACTAAACCACTTGAGTTGAACAGCACAAGACTACAGGATGTATTATTAGGAAAGATGTTTCTCATTCTTAGGGTAGATCTAGACTATCGGTACACATCAATTCAACCAATGGACAAAGGTTGATAAGTGTCTTCTATCAATTGCTTCTATTGTGCTGTAAGTAGACTGATGTCAACTTACCGTATGATATACTGATGTATTTATGTTTATACACAGACCAACCAATGGACGACGGTTGATGAGCGTCTTCTATCAACTGCTACTGTTGTATTCTAATTGCACTGATGTTACCTTACCGTATGATATACTGATATTATTGTTTGTGCACAGACCAACCAATGGATGACGGGAGTATCCAGCCGCTGGTGAACGGCCTCTACGCTACTAAGATGGTCATTCCTGCCCTTGATCCAGTTTACCACCCACAGGTATGTCGACAACTAAATATCGTTGGGTGTATATATACATATGCTAATGTATGTGTGCGTGTTGTGGATATAGATATAGAGTTGTATTCAAGTTCCTGGTATGCCTATGACCATTATAAACATAAAAACATACGCACATATACAAACGCATACATACACACGTATACACTAACACACATCCATACCTTCATATACAGTCGTGCACTTGCACACTTGCACATATACACACACCCCTTTTTTCTGAACGTGTACCGGCTTCTCGTCATGCCATACACGCATCAGATAGAGAAGAGTTCTTTGTTCCAACCCCCCCCTCCCTGGTCCATGTGTGCTGATTTACATAATAGTTATCTCGCGCACACTCTGACCTAGTACAATCGGACGATATTTATTCAAAATATCACTCTATGCAGCAGCCAAAAGCGCGATCCAATGTCCTAAACCTTATTTTTTGGGCCATAGGTACTGGACTTATTGCCTTATTTAATCAATGGACTGGGACATCCCTACAAGGCGGTTCGGTACATGTGTGCCACCGCAGTTGCCGCCATCTGCCAGACGGTGGGCTTGGACGCTCTTATCATCGGTAGGTGTTGTTCTATATATAGATCTGACTAAATGTAGTATATATAGACACAAATGTGTGTACGTGTATCCTCATGTGTATATGTATGTGTATGGATTTGCAATATATATATATATATATATATATATATATATATATAAGTACAGATATTTGTATATATACCGATATATATAGGTTTGTACGTGTATGGGTCTGCGTATTGATTAGTATATTTTCACTTTTACACAGATATACACAGGCTACCACACTATATTATATACAAACGCCTACGTTCATATGCACAATGATCCCAGGCAATTGAACGCTTGGGCGCACCATTTTAGGCGCCCATAAAACTTCCCTGAAGCGCTTTTATCGACCACTCTTCCTTCCTCTGAAGTTTAGCACGTGCTATAGCGGGTTAGTCGCCTCAATGACATATCAATGTGTCACGTACATATATATATATATATATATTGATCTAATTCACCTGTAGAAGACACTTTACTACGATACAAACCCTCCATTCTACTCCTGCGTGTATCACATACAGTTATAAGGGATCTGCTGCCACTCGTCAATCATCGCACAGAC